CAGGGTTCGAATCCGGATAGTGAAGGAATTTTTTCTTCTCTAAATTGTCTCATATTTCACCTCCTTTCCTGCTCTCAAGCAATGTTCTGTCATGTTCTTTCGTCTCCTCTTTCTGTCCCCACCTCCTCACCTCCTTTGCCCTCTCCTCTGGACTCCTGACTCTTTCTTCAGCCTTTTTACTGCTACTCCTTGGCATATAATTATTGCTGTCTTTTAGCCACGGCCCTGATCTTCTGGCAGGAAAGATCTACCCCTAGCCTTCTCGGACAAGGGCGAAAAATCTTGGAGGTCCCGTGCGTAAATTGCGCACGTTAAAGATTACCTGGTGGTCCAAAATCGATAAGAGCAGGCTTCTGCCGCCACCCGGGCAAAATTCAAAATGTCCTACTAAATGAAAATGGTTAATGTGTCCCGTGCGTTCATATGACTGATGCAGGTGCAAGCGGCGTAAAACACTTACCAAAAAAAGAACAGGTTCTGTCTATTTTGGATTGTGTCATCTCAATATTATTATAGAAACAGCGCAAATGGAGAGTATGAAATGGTCTTTTGTTTGGGTGGATGTCTTGGGCGTGGCTTAATACTGAAAGAAAACGCAAGGGGGGAGTAGCTGTTTGGTCAGGTGACTGTCTTGGACAGGTGGCTGTTTGACCAGATTGGACTCTGCCTATCTACCTATTGATTTACCTGTCTATCTACCTATTGATTTATCTGTCTATCTACCTATTGATTTATCTGTCTATCCACCTACTAATTTATCTGTCTATCTACCTATTGATTTATCTGTCTATCTACCTATTGATTTATCTGTCTACCTATTGATTTATCTGTCTATCTACCTATTGATTTATCTGATTTATCTGTTTATCTACCTATAGATTTATCTGTCTATCTACCTACTGATTTATCTGTCTATCTACCTATTTGTCTATCTACCTATTGATTTATCTGTCTATCTACATATTGATTTATCTGTCTATCTATTGATTTATCTGTTTATCTACCTATAGATTTATCTGTCTATCTACCTATTGATTTATCTGTCTACCTATTGATTTATCTGTCTATCTACCTATTGATCTATCTGTCTATCTACCTATCGATTTATCTGTTTATCTTGGATGGTGTCAGTATAATACAAGTATAGAAACAGCGCAAATGGGGGTTGGGAAGTGGTCTTTAGATTGGTTTTGATTGATTGAGTAGGTGTTTAACGGCACTATCGACTCAATTTTGGTCATGTAAGTGCCAACTTTTGTGTGAGTGATTGTCTTGGATTGATAGGTGGCTGTTATATCAAATTTTATTTGACTGTACGTATATATAAAGCCTTTTTTATTGGGTGGCCTGTACTCCAAGTCAACAGCGTCAAGACACGCCTATCCGTTATCGCGTTGTTTTTTAGGGGTCCAGCTTTTGGGGGTCCAGAAAAAGATTAGGACAAATATAACGCTGGCAAGGGGAAGGATTCGCTATACAAATACACCAGATACCACCACCTCCCCTTCCTCCCTTTTACTTCCCTATCCCCCCCTCCCCCTCCTCCCTTTTACCTCCCTGC